TGACTGGCAAACTCGGAATTTTCTTGGAGGTGCTCCACTCTTACGACGCCACTCCATTGATTCTATTTTCGATAGAGGGTCATAATAGAGAACCATAGTTTCATCTCCCGTCACAATAGTTTCTATCGCAGGCTTGGGTCCCGACCCAAACAGTTCCAAAAAAGACCGCGCACCCTCGACACGGCGTTGTTTTTGAATAGCCGAAAGGTTTTCATTCATTCTGAGATTTCCTTGACCTTTAAACGTCGATTTTTCAATACCACCTCTTCGCAACAATATCTTCCGTTGTAACTTCCACTGGTCGACCAGTTCTTGAATCATCTTCAAGGGACTCCTGCCCGATTCGAAAACGTTTTGCCCATTCTTTCACTACAGAATACGAAGGAGAACTTTGGCCGTACACACCATCCAGCCTTTCTTTAATAATTTTAGGTGCTAACCTTTCATTTGTCAAAAACTATATGACTGCTCTGTAATCAATTTGCGACATTTTTTCGGACACGTCTTGTTTAAAATGCTGTCAATAAAAAACTATTTGACGCAAGACTTTAATGTTTTTTTCGCAGCCTACTAAGTGATACTCGAGCTGCATCTATGTCAGGCCGGGAAATTATGGCGCTAACCTCGTACGCACACATTGTTATTTTTCAAGTGCCTAATCCCTTTATAACGAAAAAAAATCAGTACCATCAATTTCGCTATATAAAGTTTCGACTGTAGTTCAATTGACCAGCCCCAACACTAGTGGTGTAGTAGTAACAAAAAATTGTTAGTTAGATTTAAACTAAATTACACGAGCTGTTCCAAACTCCCAATTTTTGTAATAAAAGTCATATATATATATATATATATATATATATATATATATATATATATATATATATATATATATATATATATATATATATATATATATATATATATCAAATGATACCTAATGAAAGTTCCTCCATTTAAAAAAATCGAGTTTTTTAAATTAGACAACCCATCCTGGCCCAACGAAACACTTTTTGTATCTAATTTTTTATCTCGGTGTCGTACTTATTGGGGTAAGGCACCTTAACGCATTTTGTCCAAGTGGTGCGTTAATGCGCCACCTACTCTATGATTTTTTTTGTCACATCCAGGAAATATTTTTGCACATCCATTTAGAAAATTTATTATTATCACTATTTAAGAACATACAACCGTAGAAATTGCTAATTTATGTGTAAAGGAAACATCTTATATATGACTTCAAAAGTTAACAAAATCGGTACATAAATCTGTATCACATTTTCAAGTAAATCCAAAATAGTAAAAAAAATATTTTGGATTTGGATTGCCATTTTTGTTAAGTCTGCATGTAGATTACATCGCAGAAGACATACATTGGAAATACTATACAGAGTATGCTTTATTTTTTGAAAATATTTGTTGGTGCGTGAATGCACCACCGGTTTTATCCGTGAGACAAAACTTTGTTATTGCAAGTCTAGACAAGTCAGCGCATGTAGAATAAACATCCAACAATTAGCGTTTTCTTTAGTATTAGTCTATGCCTTGTGCAGTGAACGTTCCAGGTCGTAAAATATGGCATTTCCGAGGTATTTGACTCAAAAGGAATTAGACGCGGCTATGGAGGAGATCGTGATGGATGAGGACACTAACAATGAATAATAATAATAAGTGTAATGTGACATACTTCATGCTTTGTAAAATATCTGCAAAAATGAAACCGGGTGTTACCCGTGGTGCGCTCACGCACCATAAAATATTATGCGTTTTTTTGTATCAAATCGGGTTCTATTTGGAAAACAATCCACTTTTAGTTGTTTTCTGTCAAATTTGAACTTTCTTTTGTATATTTACTACTAAACTAACATTATTTTATTTTTTTTCCCAGTGGTTCGTTAACGCACCAGTATTTTTTTGTATATTTCGAGTTTTTTTTACACATGTAATGTAGATATTCTTAAGTTCCAACAAAACAAATATTTTCAGAGCAAAAAAGCATTTTTTTTATGTTTAGGTACAACTTATAAACGTTTCTAAACTTAAAGTCAATTATTATTAATTTTTACTAAACCTTTTTCATAAAAACTTTTTTTTTTAAATAAAAATAACCAAATTTGATCTAACGGCGCGAGGGTGGTCAAAAATCAGGAACGTTGACTTCAAAACAAAGTCGAATTTCAAAAGAGGTGCGAACATTCTTTAGCAACTCGCGTCAAATCTTTTGAGCCGAGTGGGCCGTGATACGTCCGCGCGCCCGATCGTTAATCTTCGCTGCTAAACCGTCCTCGATCCCGGCCAATTTGATTTCCGAAATTGCGAATAAAACCGTTAAATTGCTTGCCTTTTAAAACTTAAATAAGTAGTTAACCCCTCTGCGGTGTGGCAATGAGCGTCAGGAATTTCAAACGTTCATCGATTTGCCAAAACGTGTTCGGTATTAACGACACCTTAATTTCTAAAACTAACGACGTCCGGTTGTCCGGGCCTATTTTATCGGAAACTCCCAAAACGATTTACGATCTGGGTCGATCAATTTAAAATCCCGAACATTCCGCGCGGAACGTTTCGTTTGGCGGGAATTCCGCCCGTTAAAACGCAACACTCCCTACAATCGGAATATTACCGACTACGATTCACCTTTTGTTTCCTTCGAAAACGTTCGTCCTATCAAAGAAAACCATTATACTTCGACCAAAAATGTAGTGCTTTTACTTTGGCAAAATCGATGTAATTTAATTGTGCATGCACCCCGTCTAAAACGTCTTCACATCTCGTCGAACTTCAAAGTTACAGCAAACATCGGTAAATATTAAAATTTGCACAAATAATAGCGTTGTCGATTGATATTTTTCAAATATCTCGTGCCCTCTATAATTGACGAAACCTGAAACTCTCCCACGACACGGTTTACGATACTGTTCAAATAAAATTATCCCATCTTTGACGCGTCTTGGTCTTGGTTCAAAACTTTTTTGAAAATAGTAAATGGTTTTCGAGAAAATAAGTTTTTTTAATAATCAATGACGTCATTGCGTCCTGACAGTCCCCTTTTATAAAGCGGGTTCGTGTTCCGTTCACTTCGGAAAATAGCAAAGTGGGTTCCCATGGGTCCACAAATGACAGAATTATAACTGTTTCAGTTAGGCCGATAAATAATACGAGTCAAAAATAAACATTGCAAACACCCAAAACGAAATATGGGAAAATATCGACCATTTAAAGCTAAGGGCGCCGACATGCATTATATTTTTGGTCGTATTATACTTAAATAAGTATACGCTTAACCCATATTATCCCAAGCATAAAAAAATACTTTTTTGCTCTGAAATTATTTATTATGTTGCACTTAAGAATACATTACATGTGTCAAAAAAAAACTCGAGCCATACAAAAAAATACTGGTGCGTAAACGAACCACATAAGATGTAACATATAATTTATGCATAAATATACAAAAGAAAGTTCAAATTCGACAGAAAACAACTAAAAGTAGATTGCTTTCCCAATAGAACCCGATTTGATACAAAAAAACGCATAATATTTTATGGTGCGTGAGCGCACACCCGGTTTCATTTTTGGTTATATTTTACAAAGCATGAAGTATGTAAATGCACATTACACTTATTACAAATGTAAATTGTGTGGCTGTGGCAGATTCTACATCTCCTTCGGGCTTTATTAGCATGAACAATCATGGGGTGACCTTGATTATCATAACAGCAGAAAGCATACGTCTTCTTTTGAATTCCAGGGTTTCATCATCGGATGAGTCCCATTCAGGTTCAGTAGTTGATATATTACAGGACTATTGAAGTACAGCTGTATGTAACTCGAAAGTTCCAACTATATCGGTTGGTTCCCCAAATTCTTGTAGATTTATGTTATCGTCAGTCAAGGTATCCACATCGGGTAGAATATAGACCGCGTCAATATGATCTGTAAATATTTTTTCACGTTATTTTTAGCATAAATTTACAAGGAATGTAATGCTACAATACATAAGAATACGTATATCCAAATAATACTTACGACTTTCGTTGTTATTGTCCTCATCCATCACGAACTCCTCCATAGCCACTTCTAATTCCTAATAATTGTTGGATGTTTATTCTACATGCATTGACTTGTCTAGACTTGCAATAACAAAGTTTTGTTTCACAGATAAAACCAGTGGTGCATTCACGCACCAGTAAATATTTTCAAAAAATAAAGCATAATCAATATAGTATTTCCAATGTATGTTTTCTGCGATGTAATCTACATGCTATAGACTTAACAAAAATAGCAATACAAATCCAAAATATATTTTTTTACTATTTTGGAATTACTTGAAAATGTGATACAGCCTCAGCCAATTATTCCCGGTTTATAACGAAGCTCAAACGTCTAAATGCTGATATCCGGGTCAAACGGGACGGTCGCTGAACCGCAGCACCGTGAGGGGGTCCCCAAACAAACACAGAAATAGGTACCAAGCCAGGTAACACACCTAAAATATAATATTACGGCGGCCGTTTCTCCTATGTTTTTGCAAGGGACATTTGCATTGCAAATCGTCGTCGGATCGCGTCAAAAGTGACGTCAAAACCGGAAAAAACGTTATGTTTCCAACGCCCCGTATATCCGCGACCTTTGCGTTCATAATTAAAACGTTTGAGAGAGAGAAAAAAAAAGCAGCAGGCATAAAATTATACGCCGAATGTTGCAATTCAACAAACTCGAACCAGGATGCGCCTTTTTTATAAACTCTAACCTTCGAAAAGCGGCTCTCGCCTTTCACGCTGCATTTTCGGACGAACGGGAGTATCGAAAATTTGAACCCATATTTATTAACTTAACCTTGTTCAAAAAGGATGTGTGCACGGATTCTCGCACGGGAACAAAAGTAAAAGTGTACGTGGCCCCGTTTTCCCGCGGGGGTCACATCCGTTTTAGTCGAAGCGATCCGGCTGGCCCACTTGAAAACTGGGTAGAAACTTCACCGATTAATTTGAGAGACTCACCTGCAGTCGCGTTACGAAATCGCCGCTAACGGTGCGGGCTACGTCCTCGGGGGGGCTCGATAACAAAACGTCGAAGATCACCGTTCCGTCGCTGGCCCGTTTTTTTTCAGTCAAACTCGCGGCGAATAACACCGAAATCCGGTCGAGGTTTTCCTTGAGGACGTGAGTGCACGACGACTTGATTTTCACCGTACCCACCGTCGTTTGGGACATCTTCGACTGTGTCCGGGTTCACATCGTAACCCCGCGATGGAACGTTTCTCGAAATTTCACGCTTTTTTTCGCCCCGGATTATTATTGCGGGTCAAATAAGTTCGACAACAATGACATTTTTATTTGACGGTGGCGCCGCGCGCGGCGACTTCACGTACCGCGCCGACCGCGATATTTGAATCGTCCTAAATTAAAGAAAGCTACTTCCAAAGTTTACGGAATTAAAATATAAGTTGCCGCCGCACTCTCCGTCGGACGATTATCTTTGATGTGTTGAGATTTAAGCGGGCCGCGGCCAATTCCCTTCCATGTGCAATCGTTCGTTATTCCACGAGGTTACGAGGGATCTCTGCAAGTTCTGCGTGTGGCATATCTATATACGCAGGGCTATCCAAAAGCATGATATATTTATAAATAAATAGTATAATGCACTTAATAAAGTTATTTTTGATTTTACATAGTTTAATATGAAAACGAACGAAAATTTGAACCATAAAAGGGTTTCACAATAAAATCATTTCTATTCTTACTCCAAATTCCACAGTTTTTCAAATATATACTTCATTAAATTCGTGTTTTTTTCCATGTTTAATGTAGGAACACTATTGATTTGAAAATTTAAAAGACCCTCTGGAATTTAGCGTTAAGAACAGAAATTTTTCTATTGTCAAACCTTTCTTTTTTAATGGTTTAATTTTTCGTTTGGCAGCTTCCTTTTTAACGGAGTTATTAACATTTGCAGTAGACCATGATTACATTAAGTCTTATAAAAAGAAATTTAAATATTCGATACTTTTCATTCCAATAATTAGTTAAATAGTTGAAATACAAAGGAAAAAATTAAAACTCTATAACTATTTTTAAAATTATATTTGTTCTATATAAATTTATTGACAAATTTACGTTATATAAAATAAGCACCACATAAAATCGTAATAGGTGTACATAAAACAAAACCCATTTCAATTTTCAAGTACGTTATAATATTTTCGTTATCTTTGCCAACATTTAACCCATAATTTTGACATTGTCAATATTAGTCTTGGAAGTGAATGAAAGCCATCAACAAATGCAATCTAAATGTAAATACCTATTTGATTTGACTACGCTTGCAGTGTTAATTTCAGTTTGAAGGCATACATCTCTCTTAATATAAGATTTATTTTCGTTTTCTTCTAAAAATTACATATATTTATTGTATAAATGTATCTGTGGATAAGTAAATTCGTTCGTTTTTTAATTTCCCAGGAAAATCTTACCATCGGAAGTAAACTTACTATTACAAAAAGAGGGAATTGCAAACTTCTGTCATCCCTGAAATGTAAACTGTAAATTCTCATTCAACTATGACTCTGTTCTAACCTTTTATTAGCGTATCTATGAGTGCCCATAAATCCAAATAGATTTTTTCAAGTATGACTAACTAAGGATGTGATTGAATATTCTAAGAAATATAACAGTAAGCAATAAAATCAATTGAAAAAGTGGGCTACTCCCTGGTAAGAAAGAGAAAAAAGCTTCTAAAATAGTATTACCTGGTCTCAACTGACCGACAATTTAAAAAAAAAGCCAGTCCCTCGTTTAATTTACTGCCAGAACCTTCTACTAAAAAATAGGTCACAGATATTTTGGTCATTTACTTCTCTCACTGAAAAGAAGATGCAAGACGTTCGTTGCAAGAGCACCAGGTACCTTGTCGACCTAAGTTCGCCTACTGCCCACCAACTGCAAATTAGGCAGCAGTGCGGCTACGTAAATTTTAATTCTGTAAACTTTAGCTACGTCAAGAAATACGAAGTTAGAATGTTGGATGATTTTATTTAATCAGAATAAAATTTTCATGAAGTGCGCATAGGAGGGGACACCAATATTACGCCGTCGCCTCTAACGAAAAGCATGGGAATGTTTCTTTTGGTCGTTTTATAGACTTCCTCGTACGTTTCTTCGTCGATTTCGACAGTCGTAATGGTTTCCTCTGCGTCGCTCAGTATCATATTCATGTGCTGATCGTAGGCCTAAAAAACCGCAGCTTAACGACTCGTACGCGCGGAGCCACAGCGCTTACGTGAAGCCTGCCCCGCAATTCCCTGTCGTTCCGCATTTTCACGTAAATTCTCTCGTCCAAACTTAACCTAACCAGGTCGAGCGGTTCTTTCACCGTGATCGACGGTATCTGAAAACTCGGAAGCCGATAATCGTCACCGCGGAGCGCAATTCGACACTTACATTCTCTAATTCGTCTCCCATAATTCCGTTGAAAGCTGCAATTTCTCTTAGATCGTTCAAAACTTCTCAACCGTCGCCATTCTGAAACGATCGCTTCTTCTTGAAACCAGTGGGCCGCGCAAATCGGGCCGGGCCGAACGCGAAAAGAAGAAGAAAAAGCAGGCGTGTGGCGTGTTGCCTACGACATTGGCCCGAACAACAAACAGACGGTTTAGTTTAGAGACCGCGCTAAATAAACACGTCAATAAGATTTATTTGTGCGGCACTCCATAAGCGCGCTATTTTTAGCGTCGGAATTTTCAAATTAAGCACGCTCTCGGATAGTTTTCATTCACCGTCCGTTTACTATGCACCGTTTCGCGTGTTTTCGTATCGCGAGCGGCGCGTTTTCGAAAGAATACCGAAAATGAGCGATTCGAGCAGCGATTCGAATTCTTCGGACGCCGGCGACGAACGGGACAATGCCAATTTTGCCCGCGAGAAACGCGACGTTTCCGGTCGGTGGGGCGCGAAAGAACCGCCCTACTTTCCGTTGAGGCGGGTGGTTTGGCCACCCCCGTCGACGTCATCGGCATCGAGACATGCGACAAGACAAGGCAACGTCGGTTTCGGATCGAAAATGCAACTTTTCTCGAAAACGGGATACTTTTTAGCCGTTTACGCGGACGGCAGGGTACGGGGGACGAGGGACGAGAACGATCCTCACAGTTGAGTCGATAGATGGCGCGCGAGGTTGACGTTGATGTCAAGTGTCGATTGTTTTCAGCGTTTCTGGAGATCGTAGAGGGCGGGGGCCTACCCGAGCACGTCATGATCCGCGGCATGTTGACGAACTCATACGTAGCGATGGACAGGACGGGCAGGCTATATGCCGAACCAGATCCGAACTCTACGTCGGCGATTTTTGTGGAATCTTTCCAAGGGTCGTACAACGTTTACCTGTCGAGGAACTGGGCGCACCTCGGCTGGTACCTCGGCATTAAAAAGTCGGGCAAGTTTAAGAGGGGCCCGAAGACGAAATTGGGCCAGAAGGCTATCAGGTTTCTGCCCAGAAGGACAAAATTTGAGCAGTAGAAGGAAATGTACACGCCAACCGCACCTCTTATAAGTTTCTAATGTTTATTTCTTGTCCGTAATCATTTCAAGTATTACTCAGCGTCAGTATTCTTTCTTATGTCTCTCTTTATCTCTGGTAATTGCATTTATAGCGTTAAGCAACGTAATTGAGTATTTAAAGACGTAAACGTATCTAGATTTGTTAACTATAGTCGTCTAGTTTGATTCACTGCACTAATTGTCTAAATAAACACCACAAACATTGCGACTGACATTATTCTTTTAACTAGTGAGGATGGAATGAACCCCATAGTCCGTCTATAGATGGAATTGCACGTGATTTCAGTTTACTTTAAGAAAAATGCGGGCCAGCTTTGGAACACAAAACCACAGATCACGAAAGGAAAAAAAAACTGCACCATAACAATGACATGGGATTTATGTTTCGGAAGTGTTTGGTGAATCTTTTCAAGTGTTCAGGTGTGCCGGCTCCGCTGTTTTTGTTGTTCACTACGGTTGGAGGCCTTATAAACCGCGGTGAAAGGCGTTTTTTTGGCATTCGTCAAAATGGGCGAATCACCACAGTATCTTGCCCAGCCGAGAGAAATTTGTATTTTCCCTTTCTCTCTTCATATTCCGTGGTTCGTGCCCAACTGTATTAGTGAAACGCATTATTGAGTTGAATATTTCGTGGTTAGTTATTCGTTATTAGTTAGATGTTGGGGAAGGGAATAATTAATATACGCGTTACTAAAGTAATTTTATTGTTGACCAAGTATCGTGTGAATTTATTAACAATATAATTATTTGCTCGAGACGTCACCTAACCCGATACAAACCACAACCTAAAAAACTAACGGGATTGTCTAAGGATTTTTACAACTGTAAAAGTACACGTACTTTCCGCACAATACAAATACGGTTTCTCATCGGTCGCCTCGCCTCTGGACAACTACAAATATAGGAAATTACGATAAAGAAGCGAAATACGTATCGTCCGCCAGTAAAGAAACCGGCGGCAAGAATTTGAGGTTATGTACTCAGTGACGCACTTAATTGACTTTTGACGCCGCCTGAGAGGCGACGCTTTAATTGATTACCCGCTAGATATGTGGCTGCTACAAAAATCTTTATTGTTGGCGTTTGATTGCTTACGGTTCATGATCGTACAACCTACATTTTTTTGATCAATACTTAAGTCTAAAACTTGACGTATACGCGCATGCGGAACCTACAAATTTGTGCAACTACATGGCGTCCTAAGGGAATCGAAGTAGGCGCAAAGAAGTCGGGTGCAACAAACAACTAAGCGGCGGAGGCGGATTTCTAGGAGGACAACCGAGATTATGCCTCGAATCGACAGATTGTGGTCAACATTTCCAGAATTTGAAAATAATGTTGAAGGTGTGTCAAGTTCCTAATGAAGTGCAAATAGAAACAGATGAATACAATTATGCCAGCAATGACACTGCTATGGCCAGTAGTAAGAAACAAATAGATCATTATACGGAAGGACATTAGTGACAATTTAGGAGGTATTAATTGAAATCAATCAGTTTGCAAAATAGCAAACAAATTGCATAATCTTATATTTATTTATAATTATATTTAAAATAACTCTTTCGTAACAATCAAACATGGTTTTGTTTAAAATTTTAATTAGTAAAGTTAAATCAAGATTTGATGCCATACTTTTACAAAGACAACTAAATTACCAAAAATATCTCTATAAGGCGTCGTGTTGGCAAAAATCCGGTACGGTTAATTGCACGAATTACCCATGGAAATCGAGTTCTCTCCATAGATTTACTTTTTACTCTATTAATGTGATTTCTTTAAGAGGGAAATTTTATCCATTCATTTCCTAGTTGGCTGATAATAATTGCAATGACCCCATGTAGAATATGTAATCAGTAGGAACCTCCAGTCCAGTCTCGTACGCATTTGATAGTCTCTGGGGGCAAAAAAATTTAATACAATACAATAAGGGGTCCAGTATAATGTTAACCATCTCTTTATTTACCCGGGAAAGACTTAAAAAGTGCTCATCAGTCATAGAAAATTTCTAATAAATCTTTGATCTCGATTTATTGCTCTTATAACTTCTTTTCTTACATTGTGGTGAAGTGGCTTTTACTTGATGAAAATCCATTTCAAATGGTTAAATAAGAACAAACGTTATTCAGATTTTCACATAAATATATTTATATTTATAAACATCGGTACCGTTTGATATTCTCATGTGATAAAGGCACGGTGTTGCCGAAACAGCTGTCATTTAAATATATTTATTTGAAAATCTGAACAACGTTTGTTCTTATTTAACTATTCTTTTCTTACTCTTCTCTCAGTATTACATGATTGACAAAAATATGAAATGAATATTTGAAAATGTCATGAATATAATATAAGGAAAGATAGACCCAACAATTGCTCATTTTTTTACGCAATTTATTAAAAAACGTTATTTGTATGCAAGAAGCAGGTTAGATTTCCTTACCTTTATCACACTCACGTAAGCGACTTTAATCGACACTTTCGATGATGTCGCCAACATTCGCCAGAAATATATGTCGATTCAACGCTACACACTCAGTAAATTAACGGACAAAATCAAAGCACGAACTCGGTTGTTCCCCAGGCCAGGCGGATTCTTAGCGTCACAGACGATAAAAAGTGTCACCCGGATGTCACGGACCACAGGGGTCACACAACCAAAATATCTCAACCTAACCTATAAAAGGCTACGCGTTTATTGCTAACGAAATGAACCGGAGGGATGCGCTATGTACAGTCCTACGTTCGTACGAAAATACTTTTTTAAATGGTAACGTTTTTGGAAAATATACGTATGTTGAGGTTCATTTTTCAGTTTAAAGCCATTCGAAACGTGTTTTCTGCCACGCGCCTAAAACTACCGGACATTTAGAACGTCGATTAGATTCTCGAAATATACTGTCTCATCTAAGCGCTAAAAACTAACGTACAAAGAGGTACCACATATTTCGTTTCCGCATATATTAATCGGCAGTTACCCATTTCAATTCGAATTTATTTGTATTTCTAATTTGGCCTTTTTACTCGACAATCGTTTATCATAGCAAAGAATGGTTCAAGAAACAATTATTTATTTTTAGCATGAATTCGCACTACTCAAAATAAACGTATAATCAGTTATATAGTGAGTTATTTTTCCCCAAATTTCTTTTATAGTGACGCGTCATTCTTATGTTCATAATTGTCGATTGCCGATATTATTATTTTTGAAGTACGAAATCGAAGTCGAAACGTGCCGCATTAATATTTGCCCGACAGTTTCCCCGTACTACCTAGGATTACATGTCTCTGAGCTATGCTCGTCGCCGGAATCGCTGTCGTCCTCTTCAACAATGTCTTCTAGCCGCCTGCCGCCATCTACCACTACAACTACTTGCTTTCTAAAACAATTGGTCGCCTAAAATGTCAACCCTCCCACTTCTAAGTGCAGAGTATAACCTATTCGTCGACACCATATAGCTACTAGACATATAGATTCCCTTGCCTATACTAATAGTACAGGAACTTGTGAAGCAACTATGTATTAGACACGATATCAGCTAATTTTTAACGAATTTGTGTACGTAAATCGGCGCAAACAGTTTGTTTTTATTAACGTATTGGTTTAACTTCTATTGAAAATGTAAATAAGGTCGAATTCACGAAATGTGACTATAGAAACCACTTTTAAATCATTTAAATTAACTTGTACATAATATAATTCACTTTTGACCACAACCACAACAAGTTTTTCGCAAAAACGCGATAAAGGTACGGATAGAATCTCTTAACCACCAAAAATGTAAACAACAATGGCACTGGCAATAGCAGTTCCTAGTTCGGCGTTGCCAATTATATTTGGATTTCAGAGACTGATTTTGCGTTTTTATGAAAATTAGTCAATTTTTTCAGGAAAATTACGGAAATGTGGCAACTCAGTTAGTTGGGGGTGACGCTTGCCCAAAAGATCCACACCGCAGTAAGGCCACTATATTATCATATAGCTATATGGTCGACACCATGACACAACAAACAAGGATACGACAGATCGCCGTTTTCAATTGGTCCGTCGCACGCGTGACGTCACGCGGACCTAAAAATTTGAATTTGACGTAGGAGTATTTAGCATTATAACATTTATAAGTTGACGTAAAAAGAGGTGCGAATTTGATCGATGACATTTGCACTTATCACACTAACATTTTTGGAGAAGGTATTTACAATGATGTTTTGATGATAATAATGGATTAGGTATAATTTTATTAACGATTAATATAAAATCTAGGCGCTTTTCTACAAAATATTGATAAGGAAAAATAATTTTTCATAACTCAGAAATAGGATTTGAGTCAGTATTTTACTTATACTATTCTTGAAATGCCTTTTTCTCTGAAACTTAAAAATGAAAATCAAATACTTTTATTTAAAACGAAAAAAAAAATAGAAATTTGTGTAGAAACTGCTTATCCCAGCAAAGGATTAAAGTAAAAAAAAAAACAAATGTCCAATTTTATGAATACTGTACTCATTTTTCAGGAAACCAAAAAAAAGAACCAGTTAATTATTTCAGAATTATATACAAATACACGTTATTATTTTATTTTGCATTGCCAATTCGATCTAGATGCAAATATACAAATAAGTCTTTTTCGACAATTTTGCTCCATCGATTGTTTTCGTCATAAGGCAGCATCGAATCACTTAAAAAATGTTTTAGAACATTATCTGTTTTGCAGTCTGCCACAGAACACCGCATTTTGATAAAACATAATTAATCTAAACCAGAAGAAAGCACTGAAACCCTACGAGGACCCAAAGTACACAACACAATGAGATTAGGTTAGGAATCCCGCCAAATCAAGTGACGTCAGTGACGTGGCCCGGTGGCTCCGCCCACACGCGCAATGTCACATCTTTGTTTGTTGTGTGGTGCGTTGGCATGGGAAAGTAGCGAACCACTCAGATCCTCCAGTCAACTCCAATTGGTATAATATATTAGTTTTTCAACATTTCGACATTTTTTATACCGTTTCTTTACTCTCCCATGCAGACGAATGGGGTATAATGGACTAACGGCTACTCTAAAAAGCGATGCAGTTTAAATCCGAACCCGACCGCCACCATTTTTTTTTCTAGCGCCAATGGAAATTTAGAACGCGATGGCCGACAAACAAACGAAGAGCGGTGACGTCGCCCGACGTCATCTTAGCGATACGAAATTCCTGCTTACCGAAAAACCGCGCGGCGATCATGCGAACCATGGATCGAAATCGTCCGAATATTTCCGACTACAACCGAAAAAAAAGAAACTAACCCTAAATTGTGATTTTCGAACGCGGGAGCGTCGCCCACGGACTACCTCGAAATGCAGATGCGTCTTTTTTGCGGTTGTTGACTCGATTCGGATTTACAGTGAAAACTCCCTATAGCGAAACTCTGTATAACGTAAAACTCTGTATTACGAACAAAATTTGTTCTACTATTAGGTCTCCATACAAAGCTATGTACGACGTTAGCGCCAAATTTTCCCGGCCTGACATCACGATAAAACTTTCTCTTCTTTTAAATATAGTAGTAGGCTGCAAAAAAAAACTGAAGTCTTGCGTCAAATAGTTTCCGAAAAAATGTCGCAAATAAAGCAGATTGAGTATAGAGCAGTCATGCGATTATATTAATGCCCTTATCGGTATGTATAAAAGCACAACATTGTTTCAGTTCTAATTTGACTTAGTGAATAAATAAAAAAAAATTACCTCTAGATGTTAAAATATGTATATAAAATAATTCAATATTACAGAACCCATATGCGTTATTTTTCAACGAAAAAAAAGGGTCTCTTCAATTACGCTATATAGAGTTTCGACTGTATATTGTCCGAAATTGTAGCTTAGATCTTCGGAAAAGGGATGTATCCCCGGTATCCCATTTTAAAATTAATTAAATTAAAATTAAAGATGCCGTCAACGGAATAATTACCGCCATCTTTGTTTTTGAGATACAGGGAGAAATCCAAAACTGACGATTTTGGAACCACCCTCGTGTTAAAATCTTTCCTGTATGATTTTTCCGTAGAATCCAGTGGCGTAGTTTGTTTTTTTACTTGCTCTAAGCAAGTTATGGAACAAACATATATTTTTTTTAATGGAACACCCTGAATATTATATTTTACATCAATTGGGGATCATATAAGCTTTTCCGAAATATATATTGCTATAATGTGGTTTTGAAAACTAAACTCAAAGTTTTATTTTTTTTTTATTTTTTACTTTAGTTGTAACAGTAGGTCATAGCAGATAAACTAAGTCTTTTAATTGATAACAAACATCTAAGCAGAGAGACTATTTAATTAACTTTAAAAAAAACGGGATGAAAATAATGTTTTTAAAAACAAGAATATCTTACTAATGCGATAAATATTATATTATTGTAATTTTAAGTAGATAGTTGGCTATAACTCATCTATTAAAAACAAAAAAGAAATGTGTCACGTGTTTTATTTTTATTAACTATCCATTTATTCTGTGTGGGTTTATTTCATTTAATCAGTTCGAATCGTTTATACGGCGTGGGACAAAATGAAAAATAATAATTTTCGAGGAAAAATCAAATGTATATTATAATTCCATTATTACATATTTTTAAAAGAAAGGTTCGTCTTTAATCATTGCCTATAATTCTCCATTAATTAAAGCAGCAGTTTCTGTGTGATTTACTTTCGATTTTCCCCACGCCAAAGAGAAAAAACAAATTTAAAAATCGCTATATTTATAGGCAGTAATGATCAAAATCTGACTTCAAGTTGACTTAAAAAGATGTCACTTAAATTACAAAAAATTGACGTCACACGTAGTGTTGACGTCATATGCAACGTCATTTTCATCAATCAACTAATTAATGACGTCATTTTGACGTCCCTCTGCTACCTAGAATGTTATTGCCTTTGTATTTTTTTAATGCTTATAATAGATAGACACCCAATAGTATTGAGAAAGGAATGTGACAGATATTGAATAGAAAACTAGACGCCTAAAACTTAAAAATAAATATTTTTTTATTTGGTAACATCGCTTCTGAAGATTTAAGATACAATTAAGCACTTCACGAGAAAATTAATTTTGAAATCGAGCCAAATAATAAAATACAGGGTGATTTCTAATGGAATATCAATAACTAGGAGACGATTGAGTCAATTTTAAACAGAAAACTGCATACGAACATATGACCTAGACGTCTTAACTTTTGAGTAAAGTTTTCATAAATAAAATATATTTTTTTAATATTTTAGATATTTTATTGAAATTTAGCACAAATCTACTTTATTATTTAGTGTACCACTTTTTTTTTTAAATGCACCAGCGGCGGGAGACGAAATTTTGCAGGTATATTTTGACAGACGTTGATGGTACGCCACTGATTTTCTTTAAAATAAAAATCATTTTTACAATCTCCGATCATTTCTAAAAAAAATCAATTCCTTGATTGTTTTCGATCCGATAGACAGCTTTAAAAAATGAAAACCTGTTCTCTGCGCGATCATAACAATATCTTTAACCCATTTTCTCCCAGTGGTGCGTTAATGCGCCACATATTCTATGATTTTTTTTGTCACATCCAGGAAATATTTTTATCACTACTAAAGAATATAAAGCCGTAGAAATCGCTAATTTATGTGTAAAGATCTTATATATGACTTCAAAAGTTAACCAAAGCGGTACATACATTTGTATCATATTTTCAAGTAAATCCAAAATAGCAAAGAAAAGTATTTTGGATTTGCATTGCCATTTTTGTTAAGTCTATAGGATGTAAATTACATCGCAGAAAACATACATTGGAAATACTATATCGATTATGCTTATTTTTTGACAATATTTACTGGTTTTATCTGTGATACAAAACTTTGTTATTGCAAGTCTAAACAAGTGTTACATATAAAATAGGCTTTCTGGAAAAACTCCGCTTGAAATATTTCTACAGTCTACTTTTAGTTATTTTCTGTCGAATTTGAACTTTCTTTTGTATATTTATGTATAAATTATATGTTACATCTTATGTGCCCCAAAACATTATTGAATGTTTTTTTCCAGTGGTTCGTTTACGCTTTTTTGTATGTTTCGAGTTTTATTTTTTTTGACACATGCAATATATTCTTAAGTGCGACAAAATAAATAATTTCAGAGCAAAAAAGTATTTTTTTATTTTTTTTATGCTTGGGATAATATGGGTTAATATAAGGCTACATTCAAATCGCTCTTGTACCAAAACGTGAGGGAAGAATGTTTTCAATTATTCTTTTCTTTTTCTAATTTTTGTTTGTACCACCATTATTACTATTATTGCTATTGTAATGGTACCCCGACGAGTTTCAATTTGTTATATACGGTTGAGGAAAAAAAATTCGTCCCCGCAGAAAATACAAGTAAACGATAATTTCTTGTTATTTTGCAATTCATACGATATTTTTCTTATATTATTAGAGAGAGAAACTAGTTTTTAATTTTTGTGATAATGATTAAAATTAAAAAAGTTGCCCCACCGCTGGGTTAGAGTGTGGACGTTACAAATGCATTTCAAGCGATCACGTGGTAACCGCGACCATATTGCTGGAGACGCGACAAAAAAAAAAAAAGCGAATTCAAAATTTAATTTTTCTCTTTTACTTACCGCCTAAGCAGAGGCGAAGGCAGCGCCGGATCCCTGACGATGTCCAGCAGTTGAAGTACCTCGGGCGGGGCCACAATCTGCGACACCTTCGCCCCCCGTAACTCGCGCAGCTCCACGCCCCTGAACAGGTCGCACCGCACTATCTCCTCCAGGCTGGGCGTCCTGGAAGGACGTAAGCGTGCGAAGCGGACCGGTGACGTGCAATTTTTATAAAGTCCGTGCATAGATATCAGAAAGTGACTAATACGAATTAAGGAAAGATCCGGGCAAGCTGTAAGAATGAAATATGGCCGAACAGGTCCGTACTTTCCTTAGAATTTAATTATTTGGGCTTTCGTTAGGAAAGATACTAAACAAATTGGTTAAGGCTTTCGCGACCCGTTGATAAGCTATTATCTTGATTAGGGTTTAAAGGCCGTCGTCGGTTGGAATTACTTCCTAACGTTTCGCTAGCACGAGTGGCGAGCTTTTTCAGGTCCTTCCATTTCCGATGTTGGACGTAGACTGACGATTTCTAATGCGCAGGTTGTATTTATGCCGATTGGTGGTGGGCGGGGCTTGTTCCGCTTCGGTTGTTCTCGGGATATCGATCGGTACTGCTCGGGATCCTAAGGATCGGGTTCCAGATTTGGTTGAGTCTAAGGGTCTCCTCCTTTCTGTTGAAATTGTGTGGGTGTTTTTGTATCTCAATGGCTTCCCTGACTAGTCCGTTGTGATAGCCGTTGACCAATGCTAGTAACTTACAGGTCTCAAAGTGTATCCTGTGTTCCCCGCTGCCCAGTGCGTGTTCAGCTACTGCAGACTTCTCTGTCTGTCCTAGCCTGCAGCTTGCTTTATGCTCCTTAAGTCTCGTTCCCATTGATCTCTTGGCAGATATGCGTGGGAGGTGGAGGGTCGTTGTTCGGTATCCCGTGATCTTGATGATCTTCAGTTCATTGATCTCTCGATCTCCCTCTTGCTGTAGCCATTTGCCTCGAACGCAGTTTTCAGGTGTTCAAGTTCCATCTGGAGGTTCTCCGTTTCGCAAATCCTTCGGGCTCCTTCTGTCAGGGTTCTGATAACCCCATACTTTTGACTTGGGTGATGGTTGGATAGAGCATGCAGGTATCTATCCGTATGGGTTGGTTTTCTGTACACTGTGTGGCCCAGCTTGTTACCTCGCTTCCTCACTAGTACGTCTAAGAATGCAAGTTGTTGGTCATTTTCAGTCTCCATAGTAAACTGGATGCTGGGATGCTGACTGTTTAGATGCTGCAGAAAGTTCTTGAGCTTGTGCATACCATGTTCCCAAATCACGAAGGTGTCATCCACGTACTGGAACCACGTTGCTGGCTTGTACTCTGAGGTCTCAATCGCTTTTTCCTCAAAGTGTTCCATAAATAAGTTGGCTATAACCGGGCTTAATGGACTTCCCATTGCCACTCCGTCCACCTGTTCGTAGAAGTTTCCCTTCCACACGAAATAGCTACCGGTCAGACAGACTTCAAAAAGTTTGCAAATATCGACGGGAAATATCCTGTTCACCAGGTCCAAGCAACTCTTCAGAGGTACTTTGGTAAACAGTGAGACGACGTCGAAACTCACAAGGATGTCGTTTTGTTCAATATTGATATCTTGAATCTTGTGCACGAAGTCGGTGGAGTCCTTGATGTAACTGGTGACGTGTCCTACGTGTGGTTGGAGCAGCGATGCCAAGTGTTTAGCAAAGTAATAATATTAAACACAGGTAGGTATAAAATTATTTTCTATTACGGACCACAATTTTACCTGAATTTAAATTCTGAAACTTTAGGTAATAATCTTGTCGCATTGTATGTTAATGGCCCCCCTTGGATGATCCCATCCAAAATCAATTGGTCACTTTCTTATATCTATGAACAGACCATACCTGGTCGCTTGAAAGATGAGCTCGAGAGCTTCCGCCACGAGCGGCACCCTCTCCAGTTCGAGCTGCAGGTGGGCGGGGCTCGGCGGGCTGCACAGCTCGTAACCGGCCGCCATCTCGAACAACAGGTAACCGAACGCGAGGGTCTCGGGGGCGCTAGGCGCGCGAGGCAGCAGCCCCAAAAGGGGATTCTCGAGGCCGGCCAGGCGAGCGACGCCGTTCTGAATGATGACGTTACCGGAATGCAGATGATAGATGGGCGGGAACTGACGGTTCCTCAGGAACAGGAGGGCCTCGAGGATCTGACGGCCAAGACATTGGATCTGGAAAAACGGCCGAAATATTTGGCGGATGCGCCGGAAGAGTGATGTACTTCGACCAGAAATATAGTGCCTTTACAACCGACTTTGCCTACTGTTTATTACTCCAAAACCACAGTCCTTTATAGAACACCCGTAACCATTCTATTACATTTCTATGTAGTATCATTATTAATATACAAAATATTGAACATAATAATAATCGTTCTCGATAAATATTTTCTTCTCTTATTACTCGTTTCACAGTTAAACCAGCTTTGTACTGATATTTTAGCTACGTCTAGCCGAATTCCGACTATCACTAAATTTTGGTGCAGTGTTATTTTTTCTTATATGCGCTTTCAACTCGGACCAAATCATCTCAATCAGGTTAAATATTATCTCAAGATTTCATGTCCATCTAATCGATTTTGTAGTCTTGGCATTATCGATTTCAAGGCTTCGGAAGGATGATTGGGGAAGTTATGGGCAGATAAGTGGCGCAGCCCGTGATGTCGACAGAAACGTCACTAACGATTCGCTGGAGAAAACGTGACCAAAACTATCAGAAAAGTATCCTGCTGACTACATTTTTAATGCTAACGAAACTGGTATTTTGTACAAAATGACGCCAGATAAAATTCTTAAATTTCGAAGCGAATAGTGTGTGGGTGGAAAACTTTCTAAAGAACGTATAACAGTGTTGGTAGCTGCCAATATGAGTGGGAAAGAAAAAAGAAAGCTAGTCGTGATTGGAAAATCAACTAACCCACGATGTTTTAAGAACATGAAGCATTTGCCGGCCACTTACAAGGCGAACAAGTCTGCATGGATGACATCGCAAATTTTTGAAGAGGAGACACGCAAATGGGATGCAGAATTGAAGGGGAGAAAAATATTACTTCTCTTACTCAACTCTCTCTCTACTCTCTTACTCGACAAGTGTATTACAGCCGATGGACCAGAGCGTAATAAAATGTATTTTTTAAATAACGATAAATAACCACCATACTGGTAGACGAAAGACTCACCGTTTTCAGAGGCAGCCCCTCGGTCCTGGGCTCGTACTTCTTGTCGTAGTCGTCGCGCCAGCAGCTCTCGTAGATGAAATCCTTGAGGCTGCCCATCGGGCTCAGGGGGCTGACCAGGGCGGCTCCCGTTTCCCAGAAATCGATGTCCAGGATCGGGTGGATATAAGGGTGCTGGAGACCCCTGAACAGTTCGAGGAGCACTTCGCGTATTTTGGGGGACGGGAACAGGGGACACGTGGACGGTAACGGTACCGACGTAAGCAGTCTTTCGGCTCCTAAAATATTGTCTTGGACGGTGAACCTGAAAACCGTTTCCCTTTCGGTCGGTGCATTTTTCCAAAAATCCCCGTGACATTCGCTCTCTACACGAGCCAATGATGGTAAAAACGTAACATTCACATTATATATATATATATATATATATATATATATATATATATATATATATATATATATATATATATATATATATATATATATATATATATATATATATTGTTAATTTTCGGGAACATTTATTTATCTATATTTCTGAGACGTTCCTAAAAAATTTAATTTAAAAGAATTAAAAAAAACTGTGTGGGTTGGAACCCCAGTCGCGAAATTTTTTTTTTTTCAATTTCTTAATTTTCCTTCGTTTTTTAGACATTTAGACAACACGCCGCAAAGATTTACCAGTTTTTCTCGGGCCTGGATCCGATGTTGCCGAGGTGGCTCCTCAGCTCGTATCTGTCGCTGTTGTCGAGGTTACGTTTGCAGGCGAGGAAAGCCCCGTTCTTAACTTGATCGTTCCCGGAAAACCCGTCGTTGCCGCAGTCCGTTTTCACGGCGCTGTATTCGTGTTTGATTTGGCCCGACTGCCTGCAACATCACACCATGCGTTCAGTGCATTTCGAAAACGGAATTTTCGCTGTCTTCGAAATAGTATACCGATATCACTGTTCTGTGCCCGCCGTTCGCAGATTTTGAGATAACAAAATTAAATTCTTAACCAAAGATTCGGATTTAGTTTGGTTACTACCAACTAACCAACTAACCAAAAATTCTTGCCAAAGAGGATAACAGATGATTTACTTGGATTAATTATCGATCCATGATTAATATATCTGGAATGATGTCGAGAGTTTCTGGAATAGGAACTTTGGTAAAGAGAGATTCTACGTCGAAACTAACTAGAATATCTTGCGAATCTAATGTAATGCATTTTATGGCCCTCATTTAGCTCGGCCCCTTCAAACAATATATAAACAGGTACAGAGTACAATACGAACCAGTTTCAGTCAAGCTCTGAAGAAGCCAACAGGATAATTGGCGAAACGTCCAGAATCCAGAAGTTTTGTAAAAAGTAATAAAAAAAATAATTACCCAATATTTTTTACAACATTTAACATTCACGCAAAGTAATTTTCGAAAACCAAATGAGGGGAAAACCATGGAACATCCCGCAGTAATGCAGAATGTCGCTAGAGATGTCGCCAACAATCTGTCGATTCCATGCGTGAACTCGGTTGTCGTAATTAAAGAAGTGTGGTCGGTCAGCCACAGATGGCAGCACGGGCTGAAGAATTTCAGATTTTTAAGCAAAAAATTCAGATTTATTTTCGCCGGACGTTGAAAAATTCTGATACTAAAGCATTTTTAATAATTGTCAAGATAACCGATAGCCAATTCGTGATGCAGTGTGATATGATATGATATTAAATGAAGCATTTTCAAAATTTCGACGTGATTGGGAGCGGACAATATTAAAATTGAATATTACTTCGCGTTATATACTATATCGGGAATAGAAAAATTTTGAATTTTTTATAGCGCTTCGCCCGCACCAATCGCTCGTTCGAGCCACGCACGGATATAGACGCCGATCGATACTTTTGCATGTTATATATATGCTAATTTAATCGTAAAACGTATGTTATCGCTCGACGTGCTATTAAAATTTCATAAAAAGTTTTCATTAAAATTAATAAATTATTTAAAGAAAAAAAATTGGCAATCATAGTCTGATTCCTATGTTTATCTCGAGACGAAATTGTAAATACAAAAATTGTATTATTGTTTAAACCAATAGGCCATATTTTTTACGAAATTTGATATGCGGCTAATAATTTATTCCGGAAATGGATAATTCTCAGGGTTCCTAATTGAAAAAAAATCTACATAATCGAAAAAATGCCTGAAATAGAGTTTATAGTCCTGGATCTTGCGCGTCCTTTGATTCAAGAATTTTGTTAACATCTTTTCATATTGAGACGAACAAAAAAAGCACAACGTTAAAATATTATCACAAATAAAAAGTCAAAAACTCTTAAACTTTTCATGTTCCTTATATCTGAGTGTACAAAAAGAAAAGTACAAATGCAATTACTAATGACAAAAGTTCAGCGTTTCCATATAAATTATTAGTTGTTTCCAAAGCTTGATTCTTTTCTTCGGGTGTTAGCTCATATTTTTGCTTTTGAGGGTTCAACATAAAGGTTATAAAAATGTGACATGAGCGCCTGCTTATATATCGATCCTTAATTTTTTGTATTCTTGGTAAAGGTAATTCTACAACATTCTCGAAGATATATTGTAAATATATCCACTGCTCTCACGCATCTGAGATGGTAGAGTTTTCTCTCAGCAAATATTCAAGAGCAATTGCTATTGGTTTTTCAATGTTATTATTGTACCCAATATTTGACATCTTTTTATAAATGGTTCAATCAATTTGGTTTTTGTTTTCTTCGCAGATTTTTATTAATATATCACACTGAGTTACGTACAACTTTAAACAAGTCTTGCCTTCTGCTTGACTGAATGTCACTCTAGCTAGATGATTATCATGTTCATGACGTCTGCTATTTGTAAGTCCTTGCATAAGTTATAACTTTTGAGTTCGCTTTTCCTCCAAAGTTTTTCTCATTTGCTGCGTTATCTGACACAAAAGATTTTACCTTGCGGTCATATTGTGGTTTACATGAAGAAATTAGATCACAACTTACTTCAGTCAAATATTGTGAAGTATGAAGTTTTTCCGAAATATATAGTTTCTTCACATCTAGCAGCCGTCACCTATTTGATTCAATATACTCGTTAGGTGGTCGTTCGAATCGACGCTCAACAACAGACAGGTCCCGGGTTCGATCCTCGGTCGGAAAAAAAAATCACCACGGTTTTTTGAGGTTATGTCCGTCCGAACTTTCTACAACGGACCCCACAAGCAACAGAGCCCCGGGGGCGAAGCACACTGGCATCGGGGGCGGAGCGCCCCTAGAAGGATCGGGGCCATTCGCAGGCGGGCGATTGTGTTTTGAAGTTATGTTCAGCCAGACCCCCTTTGTCTATCTACTTCAGAAGAACATTTTGCCTTTTCCTTCTCATAGGCTTGTCGATAACGTACGAATATTCTCAAATTAGTCTGATTTTCAGTTATTTTTTTTTCTTTGTGCGGAGATTTTCAAAGGCTTGACAAATCTGTCGTGTGTCGTTGAAATTGAGACAGACCAAGATTTATAGAACTGTCAAGCGATATTCGAATGCCTAAAAAGAAAATAACATTAAAATCAAAATTTGTAAATTTATACCATCGTTAATAAATAATAAACCAAATACGTGTCCAATTTTTCCTTAAAAAATTAGTTCAATGGATTTTATTAAATTTATATGGTTAACTTTTTTTGAAAATAGTGTACATTCTCTCCTAAGATAAATTAATTCAACGATATGAATAAGGAATACTTTTTTCATGTATTGTAAAAAATAAAAATAGGTAAGCATATAAAAATTATAAACATTATCATAAACAAAAATATGCATGAATTCAAATTTTGCCTAGAAAAGACAAAAAGAACATGGCGTTTGTTTTTGTAAATACCATACTTTTACCTTTCCCGAGATGAAAAAAAGAAATAGGTAATAATAAAACAAAGCATTACTTACCTACTGCGTGTTATCACAAACACCAAGGTGCGCTTGAAGTCTTTGAACTATCCCTTAAATTCATTTCTTGCTGATTTTACAAATCGCTCTGCGCCCAGATTTATTTGGATCTGTTGTTTTGATGTAAAACTGCCATATGACATTTTCTATTCTTCCAGCCATTTAAATGTTTTCACCTAATGCTCTATTTTCCACTAGTTAAACTACTTTGACAAACCACCAACTAAATACGCGGAAAATCGGGAAAAAAAGCAGTTCGCGACAGAAATTTTCTTGAGCAAAGCGCGTCCTGACGAATACGTATACAATATAGTTATTATTATATTTAATATTTTGTATATTAATATTGATACTACGTAGAAATATAATGAAATAGAACGTAATAAATTGTTGCTTTGTACTAATTTTTTTATGTACACGTTTCAGGAATTGTTCGGCGAAAAAGATTGAAAACATACTCATATCCCGCTAGATAAATTCCTAGGACGGTCCTGGAAGAGTTACGGTTTAGGGTCTGCTCGGTGTTCTATAAGGGGCAGCCGTTTGGCTGTAATAAACAGTTAATTGCGGGGTCGGTTGTAAAATCACTATATTTCTGGCGCAAGTATACCCGGAAACCAAGTTGACCGAGATCGAGAACGTCAAACCAAAAGATAACAGTTAAAGCGCGAAAATTAACGAATCGATGTGGCAACGCCGCGACTGACATCCAGAATGGAACCTTTTAAATCCGGTAAACAGCTTGACTAGCGACTCGGACCGTTGGGAGTTGGTACTCTTCGCGTCGCAATCGCACCGATTCTCCGAACTCTGGCTGCGAGCTCGGAAGGCCGCCCTCTTGCTGGCCGCGGACAGGGTAGAGTTGGAAAACTCTCCTGCACTCTGCGCCCTACGCGGCGGCCTCTTTTTCTTCTTCGAACCCGACCTGGACGCCCTCTCCTGGTAGAACCTCTCGTGGCCTATCACCTGCGGTTCTTTCTCTTGCTCCTCCTTCTTGTTAATGTTCTGGTAGAGGTTGAACATGGTCCGTTTCGCTGCGACGGCCGCGTTTACAAACACCAGAAAAACAGGACGCCACTTCGCGGGTACCAACATAGAAAGGTGCCGCAGAAGACTGAACGCGACCGCAGGTCGCGCTAAAGCGGCGACTACGGCGGTTTTCTACGGTTTTAATCTCGTTAAAACTGAAGGGAGACGACGACGCGAGGCAGTATATACCGTCAGGTTGCGGATTTGTAAGGTTTCCGACAAGATAAGAACGAATTAAATCATTTCGCAGCGGCGCGCGACACATCCAGAGCGGAAAGCTTTTGTTAAGTTGTGTCGTATATCTTGGGGCTAAGTCTGGAGGATAGGGAGGTTGTTGTTCGAAAACCTCGAAGCCTACATCTTCCCTCAAAGATTCTCTTATCCAAAAACCCTTCAAGAGCGATAACACTCGTTACTATTTACAATTTAGAAATATTTCCGCACCAAATTCTTTGATTTTAATATATTCGTCAATTTGAGTAATTGACTATAGAGCGGCCATAAAGTTTTCGACAATAGAAGGGTTAGCTAAAATTATTAAAGAAAGGCTGGATGGTGTGTACGGCCAAAGTTCTTCTTCGTATTGTGTAGTGAAAGAATGGGCAAAACGTTTTCGAATCGGGCAGGAGTCCCCTGAAGATGATTCAAGGACTGGTCGACCAGTGGAGGTCAAAACGGAAGATATTGTTGCGATTGTGGAAGAAGTGGTATTGACAACAAACGCCTTTCCTATGTTGTGTTGTATATCTTGGGGTCAAGTCTGGAAGATAGATAAAACGGCGATCTTAGTTCGTTGTATCATGTACTGTTACATCAATTTTACACTATTCACGACTCCAATATTAAATGGGATTAACAATACGAGGCACATTTTTGACATTAAAATTTGATTGGTTTTGTAATTTATTCAAGAATACAGGACGCCGCTGTGTCTATAAATTTTTATCTAATCAGGCATGATTAAAATAAGCAATTTCGGACAAAAGAATTTGAAAAATGAAAAATGTAGTTGTTTTTATAATAAATTTTCGATTCTTTTGACGATAAATGCTTTTGAGATAATCTCATGGTTTTCGTCTGTACAGGCTTTAATCGTTATGTTCTTGCCGAAAATCCCAGGTCTTTGGTATATAAGGTCTTACGGCCTTTGGCAGAGATAGTCAAAAGTTAAAATGAGTTTAAACGTAAAAATATTAACGAATTAAAAATGTGAACAGCAAGGTGATTTTCAATAATTGATCATTTGAAGCATCACGGCTTTTCTATACCAAAAGGTCTTTTGTATTATTATTTGCAAATTGGAGAACATTTTTATTTTTCAGAACAGAATGTAGATAGATCAGATATTGTATAATATATATCAGAAGATCAAGTAAGGAAAATTAAGTAATTATCCAGTATAATAAAAATTATACCATATACGTTAGTCTCATCATTTGTCGTATTCTTGTTTGTTTATGTTATTAAAACAAATGAAGTTATTCTTAAATATTTACAGAAATTTATTTCAACATACTTTTGAAATGTTAGTTTGTAGGTAGGTGATTCCGAATTAATTGATGTTGTGGCTAAAATGGCTCGATTTCATATAATTTTAGGCCAAAGAAAATGGGGGTTTTTGCCCCAAAGCTTTCTTTTTACTTAATCAAAACCTTAACTATAACGTCAAATTTCTTCATATCAAGGAATTCTTTTTATCAGTTTACTTACGAAGAGACAACTCTACGACGAAGTTAATTTCCTGCAAAAAACAACAGTTTTTGCGTGTATCCAGGATAGATGTCGCAAAAAAGTCAAACGATTGCATTATTACCACAGAACATCAAAAAACGAACTGTGGTTAGGCAGGCGGTCGCACATATAAAAATTATCGTTATTTTTTTTAATTCTTTTTCCTAATGGTCTCCACGAAAACCTTTATCAAACACAGCGCAAAAACATCAACGTGTCCGACTAACCTGCATCTTTTGATCCAGAACACTGCCAGTGCGAGCGCGGCCAGGCCTACCAAGACGACCGACAACGACACCTGAAACGTCAGCGCTTAAAACACCCCCCAAACAATAACAAACCTTATCGCACCCAAGGATTGTCGCGTCCGGAATTGGACGGCTCGCTTTCACGGCCATTTTTCACGTCCACTTTCATCGTGCACCATTTCACGTGTTTTCTACATCTCGGCCGCGTCCACACGCAGGCAACCGGACGTACGCGAAATTACGTCACCGTCAAAGCCGACTCGACGAACCGCGTTAGTCCGCCGCATCGATGATGAATGGGATCGGAAACGCGCCGAAATAAGTTTTTCCGGCGGTGTCGCCACGGCGTTTCGTGCGGAAATGCCGAAGGAAAAGAAAATAAACGGGGGCTGGCACGCGACGCGTGTAGGGCGCGCGGTGTTGCCGCGCTTTCGGAGCGGATGGTGTCGGCCGGTAGGAGTTCACCACGGTGGGCCAGGGAGAGCCCAAACTATTGAAATGAACCCATTATATTTCATACAATGAACGTTTTCCTTATCATAGACTAATTAAATAGTCCATGACTCTTCACAAAACAAGCGAGTTAAGAAATCGAATGAAATCGATGAAATCGAATTTTTCGAAAGTATTTGGGCTAGTATAAAAATTTTATATCCCGGTAACGGTAGATCTTATGGGATCGCCGTTGGTATAGAAAAGATCACCGTGGAAAACACATTTTTTTTGTCTGTCCGTTCTCCGTTCTCGTATCCATCATTTTTTCGCGATTTTCGACTGTTTTTTGGGCCTTGCTATGAACATGATAAGTGTGAGAAATTTGAAGCAATCGACTTTACATTTGGCACATATATGCAGCTTTGTCCCGTGACGGAACTTGAACTTGAAAATGAGGGGGCTGGGGGGTCGGGAAGTATTCGAAAAAAACAGAAAATCGCTTTTGCAAGGGTCTACAAAAAACATCATTTTTCAAAAACTGTATTCGAGACCAAAAAAATCCTTGAACCAGAAGAAGCAGAAGAAAGGGCTCTATAAACTTTTATCCTTGACAATTTTTTTTTTAAATATACAGGGTGCGTCGGAAAAAAAAACTGAAAAATGGTTATAACTGAAAGGATTCAGATCTCACTTTCTTTTATATTGCGATGTAGCCCGCATAGACAGCAAAAACTTTTATGTTTAAGGTTTTCACCTATTGTACAGGGTGTTCCCGATATTCCGTGCTAAACTGCTAACTTCAAATTTAGCAGAGAAGTAAAAGTCCGTGTCCACATTTAAACGGTAAAAATCAAATTTTACCAAGTATTTTTTAAAAATGTTTCTTTTTTTGATAATTTTAGCTTCCAGATTGGCAAAATTCTTTAACCGGCAGATGCAGAAGATCCAGTGCAATAACATTTATTTCGGGCATTTTTTCGATTATATACAGGGTTTTCAAATTATAGGCAAAAATCTAAAAGACCTAGAAAATTGTTCTTTTACTGTGTAAATTATTAGCCGCCAATCAAAAATCGTAAAAAATATGGCTAATTGGTTCACACAGTGTCCTAGGCCGCATCAAGAGCTACAATATGTGTATTTGCGGTTTTCGCCTATCACATACGCTGCTCGGGATATTTGAAAAAATCCATATTGAAATCGTTATTTCGGGGGTTGTCAATACGCGATGACGTCATTGACGGCGCACTGCTTATTTTCTCGAAAACCATTTACTATTTTCGAAAAATTCTTGAACCACGACGCGTGGAAAATTCAGAGCTATAACCTCTACTTCGAACAATTATCATATACAGGGTGTGTCGTTTATGGGCAAAAAATATAAAATATCCCAAAAATTTCCGTTTTTGTGGGTAAATTATTGGCGATAAATGAAAAACCGTTAAAGATGGGATAATTTTATTTGAACAGCATCGTAAAGCGTGAAGTGAGAGAGAGAGAGAGAGAGAGATGTTTCGTCAATTGTCAATCATGCAAAGAGACATTTCAACAGCACAAAATATTAACAATGCCTTGTATATACCTATTTAAAATACTTTTGATCACACATAAAAATAAATATTCACATAGGAAGCATACTGATATCCACAGTTACAATACTCGCAATAGAGAACATCTGCTGAAGCCAAAACTCAACTATATGTTTTATAAAAAAATCACTAAGTTACGCCGGACCATATTATTATAATTTGCTGTCTCCAAGCTTAAAAAAATTTATCTATAAATCAATTTAAAAAACACATCAAGAGGCTCCTGTCGGCCAATGCTTTCTACAGCCTGAAAGAATTTGAAGCGTACCTGACAGCATAGTAAATAACGTTAAAAGTTTACCGAGATTTTTCTAATGTATACTCTCTTTTATTTTAAATTACATTAACTTGTTTGTCATATTTGTTATATAAATATATACTCGTATTCGTTCTATACATTACTTAAGATTATGATATACATTGTTTTTACAATGAAACTTGTAATTTATTATTTGTATTTATTGACGAAACATCCACTGTACCACCTGGTTTTGTGAATAAATAGTCTATCTATCTATCTATCTATCTATCTATTGTACTATTGTACTATTGTATTATATTGTATTATTTGCGTAAATTTTAATATTTACCGATGTTTTCTGTAACTTTAAAGTTCAACGAGAAACAAATTAAACAAAACTTAAAATCAAAAAGCACGTAAAGGTAAGTTTTGAGACTAATTTTATGCTAAGTAAATTACTCTAAAATCTTTTGAGCCATATTAAAAAAATAGCCCAAAAAAAGTATGTTCGTAATTTATTAACCAATATGTTACACTTTCAGTATAATTTAGAGATGCTGTCGATACTGTGTATTAAAGTAACATGTTGTGGTGTTACGTGTAATATACAATCTTGCTCCATCTCATAAAAAAATTTTTTAAAGAACTTACCGGGTGGGCAAAAAAAGCGACCCAAAAAGTTTTGACCCATTAACATATAAATTTGTTTTCTTTTTTTTTGTAGCTTAACTTAAGTTTGATACATGTAAGACATTGTTATTATTTTCGCCATTTCAATAGTGAAAGGTATCGTCATAACTTTTGTTTACTAAGACACTAGGACTAACTATAAATCAAAACCTTGAATGAACGCTCTTATTGCAAAGCAATGGCTTAACTTTTTTAGAGCTATGACTAATGCAAAAATTGTAACAAAAACAGTGCAAACTGCGTGCTCTTAATTATTCCAGCCTTTGTATCGGCCAGTCCAAATGAAACTTTATTATGCTTTCTGTGTAAATGAATGTTTTTAAAAACGCTCTCCCGAATTTTGAGCATTTAGGTAACTAAATGATACTTTAGATGTATAAATACCCTGTTATTGTTTTATTTCGTTTCTTTTAAGCAAACAGACTTAAACATTTTGAAAAATCCGATAACAATATTTTGTTTTAATCTATATTAAATAAATAACTTCTTTGTTGTTGAATTGTTACTTTTGGGACATCCTGTATTATTATTTCCAAATGTTTCTACATTTTGTGTAGTGTTATTTTATTAAAAACTATTTGTAATTACAAAGTTTTTTGTGAACACCTTGTATAATAATTATATTGTATTAACGTCTGATGTTCGTAGGTTTTTTCTTTTTATTGATGTTTTTATTATTATTAAGTAAAAATTTGTATAATAATTATACTGTATTAAGTTTGATGTTCGTAATATTTTTTCTTTTTGTGGATGAGCTTTTATTAATATTAAGTAAAATTTATTGGCATTACAAAAGAGTCGAATTAGTCAAAACACCTGTGCGCCTCGGGCGTGGACTACTCTGCAAATTCGTTTCGATTTTCCGTTTTCGCGGACGGTGAATTCGGGACTGTCGGGACGCTTGGCAACAGCGCGCCGAATGTTCCTGCCGACCGCAGCGCCGCCGACTGTCGCTCAATACCAAAACAAACCACGCATGCGTGGTTGTTTCCAGCACGGCCGCTTTTGGAAATCGCAAGTTTTTCTTCAAATTTCGTCGACGGGAACAGTGAAAACATGAAAACTTTAATCGTTATTTCCCTTAAGATTTTGGGCGCTTGTTGCTTTTTACTACTTGCGCTTAGATAGGATAGACAGAAATACGCGTCTGGTACGTTGTTGAATGCAAATTTGAATTACTTAAAATTGATATTCTAGTGTTTGTTTTTCAAAGAACTTCTGGACTCCTCCTGCGTCTGTTTTTGGTTTGTCGAATTTGCTGACGTTTCGCCAATCATCCTGTTGGCATCTCCATAGTTTAACTGAAACTGGCTAGCATTCTAATCGACCAGAAATATAGTGCATTTACTGGTTTGACGTTTCAAGTATTTTAAAGTACTTTAACCGCAGACCTTCGTAGGACCGTGGGCAAACGAAGGCGAGAAATAGTGATTTTCATTTGGATTTTTTCAAATATCCCGAACAACGTATGTGAGAGACGAAAACCGTAAATACAAAAATTGTGGCCCTTGATACGGCCTATAACACTGTTTGAACGGATTAGCTATTGTTTGTACGAATTTTGATTTACTGTTAATAATTTACTCTGCAAAAGAACAATTTTCAGGGTCTTTTAGATTTTTGTCCATAACTGAAACACTTTGTATATAATCGGAAAAATGCATGAAATAAAAGTTGTAGCGCCGGCTCTCCCACATATCACGGACGTAAAATTTTTGCGATCGGATCAATGGATTTGGAGGCAAAGCTGTTTGGCATTCAAAATAACCACAAAAAAAATACTTCGGTGCGGGTCCAGACTTCTACTTCTCTCCTAAGTCTGAAGTTGGTAGCTGCAAATTTGGAGTACTTATCATTGTTGTATTGTATTATTATTATTATTATTATTGGAGTATTATTATATTGAACGGAATATCGCGAACACCCTGTACAATACTTAAAAACCATAAATACAAAAGTGTAAGCTATTATGAGCTATATCGTCATGTAAAAGAAACTGAAATTATTGCCAATTTTCAATAATAGGGGGACCCATTTTTCAGTTATTTTGAATTTGCAGCGCACCCTGTATATTTTTGAAAAATTGTCAAGAATAAAAGTTTAATTTTTTCGGTCTTGCAAACGGATTTTGAAAAATGGTCTTTTTTGTACATCCCGGCACACGCGATTTTTAATTATTTTAAAATACTCACCGACCCCCCAGCCCCCCCATTTTCAATAGGTTCTGTCACGGGGCAAAGTCCATTGCTTGAAATTTCGGACACTTATCGTGGGGGGGGCATTTCTTATGAGCGTATGTGCTTCATGGAGGGTTAAAAAGGAAGCAAATTTCAATTTTGTAGCTCCAACGGTTCGAATGTTATTCAGGAAAAACCAAAAGACGAGAACGGAGAACGGACAAACATGGAAAAAAAAATTTTTTTTTCGTCGGTGATCATTTCTGTACCAACGGCGATCCCGTAGGGCTTACCGTTACCGAGATATAAAATTCTTATACGAGCGCAGATACTTACGAAAAATTCGATTTCATCATAATAATAATATCGACTGTCAAATTGCAAAGTATACCATTTGACCGTCTGCTACATCGAGATCGGCGAAACTCACCGAGACTTTCCGAAACGGGATCTAACGCCGTTCGGGATTTTCGGCCGCTTTAATACGCGTCGGGAAGAAATGAGAATAGAACGGGGCCGTTTTCCGGTGGGGTGCTCGCCCCCCGGGTGGTTGCCCGAAAAGAATGGTACCAAATTGAATCCCGGCGGAAATTTTTGAAAAGTGGCGGCCTCCTTTGCGATAACGACCGCGTGTTTATTTTTTCTTTTATTGCACAATAGATAGGCCGTGAGTGTGTGTATGTGTGTGCTCCGCTAGGTTAGGTTAATCAGTTCAAAGCGCCACCGCCACCTTTTGAAGACAGCTACCGCTGCGGTATTGGTATTACACATATTATAATCTGTTTGTTCTGGCTTGGCACCAAAGAATATTATATTTAACCGAAAAATGGTAGCATGCCGGCAGACATGAAAGAAGCTTGTGCCGCCGCACTTTTTTTTTTGTACAGGTCGGTCCTTATTTAAAGTATTGTTAAAGTCTGTTCATAGATATAAGAAAGTGACTAACAGATACGATTTAAGGAAAGTATTTATTTTTAAATCTATAATAAAATTACAAATTATTTTTATTACCTACTTAAATTACTTAAAATTATCGCTATCATCGGCTGTTCTAATTATTATTTGTTCTATATTATTTACAATATGGATTACGATTGTTCTGCTTTTTCTATATGTTTAACAGAATTTGCACAACTTTGTTGTTAAAATGTTAAAAACTTCGGTTTCTATAAGTTCGCGGACATTGGAGTTAACACGGGGAAAAACATTGTTACGACGAATGGCAGATTTCAGTTGGTGTCAAACATGTTCAATGGGATTAAATATACAGTGGTAAGGTGGTAAAACTGTATGCCCTAGATTTTTTGCACAATTATCACAGACGTATTCCATTTGTGGGTTCAAGCTTTGTAGAACCCCAATTAATTGCCTTTTGGTATAATCTTCGTGAAAATAAATGTCGTTATTATTATAGGAATGTTTGGAACTAGTTTGTTTTTAAACCAACTTTCAAATGAATCAGCGGTGGTGTATTCATGGTAATCCAGAGAAGAATCTCTAATATAATAATAATAATAATAATAGAAAGTCCATTTGGAATCCAACCATCTTTAGAGTCAGCATACAAAATAGTTATTCTTTTACCTCTTTTTGATGGCGCGTTTGTTTTACACTTATCAGTTGAGTCAAACCAACCCTTTTCCGGAGTATCACCGGTATCATCCAAGTAAATAATTGGCCTTTGTTGTTCTCTGTAAATGCTAATTTTTTCTAGATATTCCAGGCACCACGTTCAATGAGAGTCAAATAAACATTGTTTATAACTTCCTTGGTCTCAATAGAATGGTGTTTTCTACATTTGGGCGGGAGCATCTAATGACACAGGTAGGTATAAAATTGTTTTCTATTACCTGAATTTAAATTCCGAAACTTTAGGTAATAATCGTGTTGCATTGTATGTTGGATAATCCCATTCAAAAGCAATTGGTCACTTTGTTATATCTATGAACAGACCATAACTGTCTAAACGCTGCAGTTGGCACTCTGTGTAATATACATTACTGTAATTTTGTCCACGGACCCTGTCTTGTTTTGACTAAGTATAAATTACAAAAAGTATAGGAGTCCTGTATTAGCTTTTCTAAACATTCTTCTATGGTATTCTATTTTAACGTTAGAACCCTAGGGATTGCCGTTCCCGTCTAAATAAATAAAGCTTTATTTCGGAGTGTCTAGTGCAATTATATGAAATTTTATTAAATACATGACAAATTTGACGACGAGAAACAGTCGTCTCATGTGTCGAAAAAATTCAAGTCTGAGTAATAGTCAATCGACTAGTCAATCTATTTGTTTAAAAAAAATTCTTCATTTATTGCAAGTATCGAAGTATTCGTTCTTCAGGAGTCTGATGTAGAAGCCTATATTGACAGATTAAAGCAACTGTTTAGTTTAAATGGATTAACTTCGTGCGATAATTGCACCAGATGCGTTAGCGAGTAAGTTATATGCCGAATGTACAAGTGCTTTAAGAACTCAATTTGGAACGAATCGCAAGTTTTGGTCAGCATAAAAAGAAGACTAAGACATTTTGCCAAGTACTGCAATCTGTGGTGTCAAGTCAAACTCAATTATAAGGAAATTATATATTATATGACAATGCACTTAAAGCTGCAATGGAAATTAATCAGGAAAAATGAGTTAAACTAATAGAACAAGAAATTCAATCAAGTCAATACGTATTAAAATCCAGGCTAATTAATTTCAGAAAGTATTTTTAAGTTTTTCTTTGCCGCATTTGCATGGAATGCATCTCAAATAGACCGAAGATGTCGAGACATTTTTGGTGAATCTTGTTTTGAGATTATACTTCTTTAGAACTTTTGATATGTAGTCAGTGACGTTTTGAATGTAAGGAAGGACCACAGTGGCAAGTGCGGGATTGCTTTCGGCCTCATTGCTATTGGATGGTTGTGGTGAAGTGTATTTTGTGATGGAACGTTTAATATCTTTAATGTGGAAATTATTAGAGAGAAGAGCATAGGAAAGGTGTTTTAATTCTGGGTTAAGTGATTGGAGCTGAGATATTTTTACGACTCTGTAAACAAGAGAGTTGATAACCGATGGTGATGATGTGACCATGCATTAAGGTATCGGTCTGTGTGCGTAGGTTTTCTGTAAACACAATTTTAGGTCTGATTTTCTATTGATAAGAATATCTAAGAATGGGAGGTTGCTATTAGTTTCTATTTCAATGGTAAAACGTATGTTAGGGTGTACAGAGTTTAAATGTAGAAGAAAATCTACTAGGGTTTCTTGACGATGAGGGCAAATATTCTTGCAAGTAATCAATTCTTCTACCAACCAAAAATTGAGAGTCTATAAAAATCTATAAGCAACCAAACAATCTTAACCGCGACTACCTGTCACCGATATGGGAATCAATCATCCCAAACGGTGTTTATGCCCTTCATTTAGCTCCGCCCCCTCAAACTATATATAAGCAGGTACAGAGCAAAATACGAGCCGGTTTCAGTCAAGCTCTGAAGAAGCCAACAGGATGATTGGCGAAACGTCAGCAAAAGCCAACGCCAACGTTAATGTTAGTAATAACTTGCTAGATTCTATGCCAGTGAAAACTCCGATTACCTCTGTGGTACCAGAAGTTGAACAATCAAGTAAAGAAGTATCAAAAAATTATTCTGTCGATCATTTTCCAAGGCCAGGAACTCTCAAGTTCGTTACTAATACTTGATCAGGTAGGATTACTAAACCTCTTCAGAAACTACACTTGTGAAAGTAGAGTAAGTTTTATTTTTAGTAAGTGGAGAAAATGCATTATTCTGTTTTAAGGTTAGGACCATAGAAAGGCGCACCATTCTCGTTTTGTGTAATATCGTATGATGATGTTCTAGTCTAAAGAAACAAAAGTTTGTTTCGGCGTGTCTAGTGTGATCATTTAAATGTATGTTGAATACATAACATTAACAATCTCAAAAGGAAGTTCGTAAACTTCAGTTAAATTGGTCAAATAAATATCAAGTCGAGAAGAATTACATTTGGCGTGTTTGGCCTGTTTCAATATTTTCAGATTTAATTAAATTTAATAAATTAATTTAATTACGTTTCATATTAAAAAAATATCTTTTACCCAAAAATTCATAGATAATTCAGATTTTACCTTTACATGAAATTATTATTTTGTGTCTTTTGCTTTTGTGTTTCATGCTCCATTTATTATCTTTGTAATGTAAAATTAATATAATCATACAACAATATACGTTTTTTAACATGTATACATATATTAAGAAAATTATTAAAATATTTATAATTACCCTTAGCTAACAGAACCAATTTTATACATCTAAAAAAAATACAATAATAAATAACAATAATAATAATAATAATAAAAATGAATAAATAAAAAAACTTTAGATTTCTTTGAAATCTTTTTCTTTTTAATCACGGGATATTTTTGAAATACCCTGCGATTCGCCGAAATTCTCTGATATTGCCGGAAATAGACTATTTTCCACTAGAATACCCCTCGTTTGATGTATTTGGTTGATTGATGGTTATATAATCTCCCTAGTATTGTAACCACAGCTCAAAATTGCAATGAACGAAAGGCACCTGGCCTCGGTCTGACGATCGTAGGCCCTGCTCTTGACCCAGGCCTTTTTCGCAGCGATGGCCAGCGAATAAGCGAGATAAGGCATGAAACTCGTTAAGGCAGGCAGTTATTATTCTTTGTTGATACACAAATTATAGGTTATACGGCCGAACAACTGCAGCGTCTCACGAGGCAGAGCGGTCTAGAGATCGCCACCGATATTCGCCGAAGTCGGTGCGGAAATGGGGAACTCTTGACGCGACAACCGAAAATGTTTGAAAAATGTTCGAGGAACATCTGAGTTCCTAATCTGGTTCGGTCACTTGACTTTTTAAATTTAAAATAGTGATTTAAACCAAACTTCTATATTTTTAAATCTTTTTTATGGAGAAAAGT